CCGCGCTTCAGGAGCAGTTTCAACTCCATTTTTTAATAGACGAAGAAACTGAGGGCGAGAGAAAGCAACACTTGTCCTCGATTACAGATTACAGAGAAAGTGGGTGAGAGCGCCAAGACCAGACCCGAGGCCTCCTAGAGAGCGACGCTCTCGCTCCTACGCCTTGGATAAGAGGTACCAACTATTGCTCCACTCGCCCGAGCCCCATTTGCTGGGTCGGACCCTTGGCCTCTTCCGTATTGCAGTGACGGCGCAGCGCAGCTGGTCCTCTGGGGGCCTCTGAGCGTCCCTCCCCAGAGAGAGAGGGGTGCGGTGGTCCCGAGGGCTGTGCGCAGCCAGAGGTGGGAGCTAGAGGGGAACAGCTACCCATTTGCCCCAAGGAACCGAGTCCGAGGCGTCCTACCTCAAGGCAGCCAACAGGGGGCAGCCGGCACCGCACTGAAGGGAAGAAAAGACTGCGGGAAAAGCGGAGCTCCGCGCGCACCGAACTAACCCCTTGTGCACTGGAGCGCTCCAATAACGGGAGGGAAATGGCAAAAAAAAAAAAAGTCTCGGATCGGGCTTCCGGACGGGAGGGGGGTTCTCCTTTGTAGGGTCGTGCGGGACTAAGGCTAGTATACCCAAGACCCAAGAGCAACTAACCTTTTATTTCTCCCCCCCACGCGGAGGGCGCAAGTCCACACACTCGGACACACACAATTCCACCGCCTCTGCGTCGCCTGCGCGCTCTCAGCGTTACCCTCTCGGAACTCCCCTGGCAGAGGCTGTGTAGCAGCTACATCTCCGCATCTGGCTGAAGCCGCAGCGAACGTTGGCGGTAGGGCAGGGACTGAGGAGGTGCAATCGCGCCGCGGGCTACAAGTGACTTCCAAAGAGCGAGTTGTCCATTTCAAGAAAGACGAGAGGAGATGGGGCCCCAGTGCCAGACCGGGTTTAGAAAGTAAAACAAGGCCGCGGGGGTCTCCAGGTTTTTCGGGGTTTTTTTAACTTTGGAAGGGGGGGGGCGGATTTGTTTGCTTTTAGGAAACATCCTAATTCCAATTTCAACCTCATTTTCTAAAAAACTGAAAATGGGAGAAGTTAACAAAAATGGAAGGATAGAAGTTTGGAGAACAGAGAGAGGAAAAGTTATTTTGAAAACAGCAAGCTATATTGCTGGAAAAAATGTTAACTTTTCGTAAAAGTGAACTCTCGGTGACCCTCGGAGTGTGTGACTCGGCTTTAACATACAACTGACAATTAAAACAAACAAGAGTTCACAAACTGCCCCCCGCCCGCTCTCCCAAGGCGGAGGCCCAAATGTTTCCAAAGGACTAGTCGGATTCCTCGCAGAGGGCCTGGGCGCGATTTCCCAGCGGACAGGATTAGAGCCACCACCGCCAGCTCTCCCCGCCCCCATCACCGCTGCTAAGTGCCGGAGCTCACCCAGTGGCGGCTAATAATGCTAATAACGCGACCCTGCTCCCCGCGCCTGGGTGCGCGCTGGCCCCCCGCCAGGCACTCTTAAAGGTACAGGGCCTGCAGCACTAGGGTTCCCCGGCCACGACGAGCCTGCAACCTGGCCTCTCTGGCTGCAGAGGGCGAGGGGTGCGCTTCTCTGGGGCAGTCGGCCCCTAGTCCAGCTGCCCGGTCTCCCAACCAAGGAGTCCATGTCCTCTTTCCAAGCTCTGGCCACACACCTTCTCGGGGCCCGCGCCGTGGGCACTTGGTAAATATTTGTTGAATTCCATCATTATCCTGTTACTGAAATATACATAGTAAGTACACTCGAGTTTCTCAGGGCCAAAGGGAAGTCTTCCGCGAACCGCACTGTTTTCTGCCTTGGCTCTTACCGACTTTTTCTCCCAAGTCGAAAAGGTTTACAGAACATTTGGTAGGACGAGAAGCGGTCTCGGGGAGGCAGAGGCAGTGCGCAGGGGGTGGGGGGCGAAGGGTAGGGGCCCCTGCCAGCCCCGCGGTAGTTTCATTCTCTCCAGGCGATAGGAGAAATGGAGGGATACGAAGAGGTATAGGGGGTGGGGGTGAGAAGGTTCAGTTAACTTCCATAAGAAAAAAAAGTAAAGGTAAAAAAAAAAAAAAAAAAAANNNNAAAAAAAAAAAAGTCGGCGGCGCACAGAACACCTACCTTCATGGCGAGGGGGAGGGGGCCCGAAGAGGAAGTCGCCACCAGAGCGAGGGCAGCGGAGGAATCCAAGCGGAGCGGCCGGGTTAAGCCTGGGGGGACAATCCGGCACAGAGCTGCGGGCTCCTGCTGGGCGCGTCCGGCAGGCGCTGGGACTCGGAGCCGAAGCGGTTACTGGAGCCCGAGTCTGGGGGCCCGAGGCGGAGCAGCGCTGGGATGCGCCCGGGAACCGAGGGGGCGCGGAAGCCCGCCGGCCCGCAGCAGAGACTGGGCCTGGCCGGGGCGCAACAAGGGAGCCGCGGGTCCGGCGAGGGCGCGCAGGCGACTGTTCCGCGGCGAGGCGCTCCCTCTCCAACGTCCATCAGCGACGGCGGTAATTAGGGCTTTCCAACCCCAAATGTGGGCGTGATTGTGCAAAAGACTTTACAACAAATAATAAAAAAAAAAAATTCTTCACAAGAGGGTGAAAAAAATGCCCCACTGCTCAACTATGGCCTGGGGCGAAAGGGGGGGTGATCCGTGCGCCCAGGTGCCCCCAGTTCATTCACACCACGGATTCTGCAAACTCCCGGCGGCTCACGCCCTCCTGATCTCCAGCTCCTCCTCTCCAAGTCTGTGGCCGAAACGTCTGCTTCCAGGCGCTGATCCTGCGGCCGCGAGTGTGTGGACGTCTGTGTACACACAGACACACACCCAAACACACACACACGCACGCACGCACACACACTCTCTGCAGCTTTGGGGCCACAGAACAATCAGGCGCGCATGGTTTTTTCTCCGGGAGATGCCGCTGAAAACGCACAAGTCGACATCCGAGCTGTAAGAGTCAGCGCCAACTTTTGTCCTTTCATTTTTAGGGTTTGGCAAAAAGGGGGCGCACGATGGGTAGTCGTCCCTGGACGTTCTGCCGTGCGGTGATTTCGGGGGGCGATTGCCCCAGGGGAGACACGGGCTCCCCCCTCCCCACCCCCTTCTTTCTCTCTTCGGGTTAATGCCCCTCTTTTCCCCGCCTTTCCAGGGCGCAGGGCGACGCGCGGCGAGGGCACCGAGTGCGCGGGGCTGGGGAGGGGCGAGGGGCTCCGCGGCGGCTCAGCTCCGGAGGTCCATGGCCGGCGGGGCTGC